GGGAGGGGTAGGGGAAGGGAAAAAAGGGAAAGGAAAAATTATGAGAAGAGGAAAAAAATGGAAACAAGGTCTTTGCAAATAGGGAAGGGTGGAGGGGTGAAGGGAGGGCAAAGGAAGGGGAAAAAAAATAAGAACCAAGAGACTCATGTAATGATACAAGATCCCAATCATGAATGTAACTGTATTTTATACCTAAAATGTACCAATAAAGTTAATGGGGAAAAAATCTTTTAAAAAAAAAGAAAAATTATTATTAAATCAAAAAAAAATTTTAAGATAGGGGGTCTCACTGTTTTCCAGTTTGGTTGCCTCAAACTCTTGCATAGCTGCAAGTACAGACACACTACCTCTCCCAGTGTGAGTTAAATATACTACATTACTAAAATGTTCCAAATATACCTTAAAATCTATCATTCTGATTTAATAGTAAATGAGTCTGAAATGCATTACAAACTAAATAATAGATATTTTCACTACACTTTTAAGAGAGAGATGGTATTAACTATAAAAATAAATTTAAAGAAAAAAATTTAATGCCAGAACACAGAGAATCATAAAAAGCTAACAAAGGCAAATTCTCTAAACAACCTAGATACTAAGTTTTCAGTTAACTTTTATAAAGGCCTTGCCAGTGTTAAAAGCCTAAGTGGTTGCCAGTATTCAAATTCAGTTCAATAATACTACTGAGGCACAAAAAAACTAAATAGCAGCTTCTGAATTACATTACAAAACCAAAAGAAATACATATACTTATACATATATTCAGTGTTTTAAAATAAATCAAATGTATACCTTGAGTTCATAAAAAAAAAATAAACTCACTGCTCCTCTCAGGATAACATTAGAACCAGTTAATTTTTGAAGAATGCTAGATAAAAGAATTAAACATTTACCCTGCCCTTCCTATACAATCTATACCTCAGGATAACAAAGCAATTGATATGAAGACATTTCCTTTTGTGGAAGTATTTGAGATTATAAATGAAGAAGGAATGAAAATAATGGGCTATCACCATTTGACAACCCTTATAGAAATAATTAACCTTGGCAATGATCATCAATGACTGCTAAAAAAGAAAATTATCAGGCTGGCAATGTAGCTCGGTGGTAGATGGCATGCTTGAGGCTCTGGATTCAACCTCCAGTATTGCAAAAAAGGAGAGGGGAGCAGACAGTAGGAGAAATATCCAAATATTATGCACTTTCAGAGGCAAACATTCTATCAATTTTTTCTTTTGGTACTGGGGACTGAACCCAGGGACTTCTCACTGAGCTATATCCCCAGACCTTTTTATTTGTATATGAGACAGTCTTGCTAAGTTGACCAAGTTAAGTTAAATGTGATCCTCCTATCTTAGCCTCTCAGAGTGCTAGTATTACAGGCATGTACTACCATGCCTGGCTAACATCATGCTAATTTATAAAAAATATAAGGGACCGGGGCCAGGGGTTTAGCTCAGTGGTTCCAGTACCTGCCTTGCAAGCGCGAGGTCCCAAGAAATATAAGGGACTGGACCAGGGATTTAGGTCAGTGGTGCTGCACTTGCCTAGCAAGCGAAAGGTCCCAAGTTTGATTCCTGGTACTGGGGAAGAAAAAAAAAGAAATATAAGGGACAGCTGGGCATGGTGGTACATGCCTATAATCCCAGCTCTTGGGAGGCTGAGCAGGAGGATCACAGCAAGTTTGAGGCCAGCCCAGGCTATGCAGTGAGTTCAAGCCCAGTTTGATTTACAGAGCAACACCCTATCTCAAAAAAAAACCAAAAGAAAAAAAAAGAAATATAAGAGACAAAGAAACATGTTAAATGACTTATCGGAACACATGCATTAGCATCAACTAAACTATAGAAAACTATACAGGACAAACCAGTAAACTCCATGGAAAAGGAAGAGAAAGAGGGAGAATTTATAGATTGTGAAAAGTCACAAATCTATGATATATCTATTGGCCTCCAAAATAATACAGAGAAACTTAATTGGTCATGTATTGCATAAATCCTAAAGCTAGGTAATAGATATATCAAGTTCATCTTTTTGTGAATATGGCTGAAATTTTCCAGATTAGAAAATAAGTGAAATAACAAAAACATAAGCACCTTGGGCCAGGGATTTAGCCCAGTGGTTTCACTGCCTGCTGCGCAAGCGCAAGGACCCAAGTTCGATCCCCGGTACCAAAAAGAAAAACATAACCACCTTCCACTATCAGCCTTCTACAGTAATTCCAAAACACACAGAATCTGTTCATACCATTATTTTTATCAGAGCGCTGTGGGTGGCTATTGACAGGATTGGGTTCTCCATGTGTTGCCCAACGGGTATGAGCTATTCCAAGGTGCACATCAAACTCTACATCCAAATCCATATCCTGTTGTTCTGAAGAAGATAAAATGAAAACTTCCAATATTAATGCTGTAGAGATGTTAGATGCTACATTAAATTTTAATGACAATAGTTCTCTCTTATCCACAAGAGATACTTTTTAAAACTGTTGGATGTCTGAAACTGCACACCGTACCAAACCCTATTAACACTATGTGTTGTCCTATATATCCATATAACATAAACTTGATGCCTTTTCTATCATAACTAAGCACTGATCATGCACTATCCCCATAACTTTTGTATGAGATCCAACACCAGAACTAGCATGAATTTCTTTTTCTTCTTCATAATTTCACAGAAAGAAGATTGATCCTCACCACAGACTTTAGCAACCTAAGCACACAAATTTTTTTTTTACTTGTTAAATAGAAAACTCAACTTCTTACTCAGAGAAAGCAATTATGGCTTCTCTTTGGCTCATACAAATTGCCAAGATCTTACATCTGGGCCATTATTAAGCAAAGTAAACACAAAGTGAAAACTATCACCAAGTGAAGTAACATAAGTAAGGGCACTACTAAAGATATCTTTGTCCTGGGCTGGGGATTTAGCTCAGTGGTTCCGTCGCTTGCCTTGCAAGCGCAAGGACCAGAGTTCAATCCCTGGTACCAAAAAAAAAACAAGCAAACAAAGATATCTTTGTCCTATAAAAGGCCCTTGTTAGGGAACAGAGTTTCTGATGTAACTTCATTTTAAGATACTGAGCTTGCTCTGAACCCAACATACCTCGACAATTTCCCTCCCAAGTTACCATGGTCATTTTGTGTGTGTGTGTGTGTGTGTGTGTGTGGTACAGGGATCGAACTCAGAACCTTGGGCTTGCAAGGGAGGCGGTAGCACCACTGAGCTAAATCCCCAGCCCTTTTTTTTTTTTTGGTACCAGGGATCAAACTCAGGACCTTGTGCTTGTAGGCACAGCGCCACTGAGCTAAATCCCTCACCCTACTATGGTCATTTTTAAAGCTCAACCACAATTTAAATCTAGTCCAAATGATAACAAAACTATTTTCTTTGCTCCTTTCAAATTTAGAATCATTATCCTCAAAATGGCTCCCAAAATATGGAGTATTTGGTGGGGACAGAACAGGAGGAGGAAAGAAGACAACAATTAAACAGTTCATTACTGTGAACTTCTTCATCCAGTGCCTTAACTTTTCCTTTCTTCTTAATGAGCTGAATTTTGCAGGCATTGGCTTCCCAATCTTTGTCATTGCCACCATCAATCCCCACACCTAAATCATCACAAGGTAGAAAAGCAAAATTGTAGATAATGGCTATTGTTAACATTATGAATAGAAGGCAAAATTTTCAATTAAATTACATTTTCATCTAATTCATTTATTTATCAATGTAACATTCACTAAAAATCTATTATGTGTCATGACACATGCTTAAAACAAGAAAGAAAACAAGGCTGATGTGCAGCTCAGTGGTACAGAGCTTGCATAATATGCATGAGGCCCTGGGTTCAAACCCATCATCACAAAAGACAAGACAACTCAGTTCTTGTCTACAAATTTCTAACAGTCTGTTGAGAAGACAGAAATAGAAAAAATAATTACATTATAGTGTAAGTTATAATAAAAGTTGCAACTGGACTACAATGAGCAACTGGGAAGAATAACATACATCAAAAGGAGGATGAGAAGCGATGGTCAGAAGAGCATTTCTTAAGATTCTACTTAAGTTTCTCAGGAATTTGAAAAAGTTACACTGCAAAGCAGTGAGTCATTTCAAGCAAAGTACTATAGCAGTAATGTTAACAAATGCTCTCTAAAGCCAGTATGGAGGATGGATTGGAGAGGAAAAAAGAGAAAGAAGAAAGTGGTTGTCAAAAGTTACCTTTGCAGAAAAGCAAAAATGAAAAGCAGCTGAATTAAACAGTGGCAAGGAGATGAGTGATATTAAGAAGCAGAACTAACTGAACAGTAAGTAAAAAAGCAGAAGGCTAGGATTTCTCTTAGGCACAAAGGATGTGTTGAATGACTGCTGATAAAAGAGACAAAAAATGAACAGAAATGAGAAGTGAAGTGAGGACTGCAGTATATGAGTTCATTTCTGAACATGCAAAATCTGTAATACTGTAGTCTACCCAGGAAAAAATTTGTAGAAAGCAGCTGGAAACACAGGTCTGCCTCTTGGGAAATATATATATAGATTAGTCCTTAATATATATGTGGGACTGTAAAGTCATCAACACACAGGAGGTTGATGAAATCAGAGCTCACCCGTGAAGTTACAAAGAAAACTGGGCAAGCAAAAACTCTTAAAGAACACTCATATTTAAGCAATAAATGAAAGGAGCCTACAGAAAATAATTAGCATCTGTGTGAGAAGACACATTGTGAGAAAAGCTAAAAAAGAGAAATTTTTTTTTTGGTACCGGGGATCGAACTCAGGTCCTTGCGCTTGCGCAGCAGGTGGTGAAACCACTGAGCTAAATCCCCGGCCCTAAAAAAGAGAATTTTAAGAGTGAAGGAGGTGAGAAACAGACTTTAATACTGAGAAAAGTCAAGAAAGATAAATGCCCATTCATTCCATATGACAAAGTTAAGTGTAGAGAAAAGATGTCTGACACTACTAGCCTAAGAAAGGCCTGCTTTCAAGGTTGACCCTTGGCTGGCATCTGGCAACTTGCTCTTCAGGAAGATTCCCACCACTCCAATAGAGTTAAGAGTGATTCACTGCCTAAATTGTTCATGCAAACAACATGGCTTATGTTGAACACCTGCTTTTCTTATGAGAGTTGGGAATTTTGGTAGGGCCAAGGCAGATGATATTTATGTAACCAGCTCCCAGTAAAACAACACTGGGACACTCACAAGCTACCCTGATATATAACATTTCTTGTGTATTGTCACAACTCATCCCCATGGAAATTAAGTGTATTGTTATTCTACCAGATGAGAACTCTTAGAAGCTTGTGCCTGGTTTCCTCCAGACTTTATCTTATATACCTTTTCCCTTTGTTGACTCTGCTTTGTATTCTTTTGCTATAATAAATCCTACCTTTGAGTACAACTACGTGCTGAATCTCATGAGTAATCCTAAGGAATCATGAAATCTGAATGTAGTTTTATGGATTCCCCCCAACACAGCAGGAGCTAAAGTCAGTCATAAAGTTGCCAGAAAATTATTTTTATTTGGTTTTTCATTTATATAAAATAGAAGAATCTCGAGTAACAAAAGCATGAATCCATGGAGAAAAAGAAATTAAAGTTACCATAAAGAAAACAGAATTTATAGATTAAGACCTTCAAAAACTTTGTTCCCAAGAAAATGCCCCACATGACTTATGTTTTCATAGTAACACTTTTAATAAAAGTAGATTACCAAAAAAGCAACACTCCTCACAAATGGTAGTGTTGAAATTACATAAATTAACCTTTTTTTAAAATAAATTAACACTTTAAACATGATAAAAAATGAAAATTCTTGAGATTTGGCTTAACAAAACAAACATTAGTAAAATCTAGTCTCTTAAAAATAACAACACTTTAGATTTAATAATCATGCAAAACCCATAATTCTTTTTAAAGAAAATACCAGCAGAATCATATCCTCTGTACTCCAGTCTCTGAAGGCCTTTAATTAGGGTCTCCAAGATTTCTCGTCTTGTGCGAGGAACATGGTAGTTCAAGTAAGCAAATATACCTGCAAATAAACAAATATTTAATGGAAAATTCTGATGAATGAATCAATACTGACATAATTATGTCTATGTTTTGGTTTAGATCTAAAATGTACCCTTAAAGTCTCTTGTGTTTGAAGGTGACTGGATCATGGGGGTGCTATACTCATCAGTGGATTAATGGGTTCAATAGCTGAATGGGCTGTTAGGAGGTGGGGCCTACTTGGAGGTGGATCATTCTTGGTGAGACCTAGAAAAGCATATTCTTGTCCCTGGCTTGTCCCTTCTGTACTTGGCTGCCTTAAACTGAAAAGCTTTCCTCCACCATCCCCTTCCACCATGCCATTTCCCTCTGGGCCAGCCAACTGGGGACTGAAACCATGAGCCAAAATAAACTTTTCCTCTTTAAACTGTTAATTATTATGTCCCAGCATTAGGAGAGTGACTAAGATAGTCTCAGATGTACAAAAACATGAAGCTAAATTCCACTTTTTAAAAAGAAAGAAATCCTCATTTCAAATTGTTAAAAGGGAGCGAAACTTTTACAATGGAGACTTGCCCCTAAATATAAAAAGCTAAAATAAATCTGTCAAAATAAATCTTTAGTTTTTCAAAGAAGCTTGTAAGGCTGACCACTTATTTTCTCTGACTTCCATTTTCCAAGTGAAATTTAACTTTTAAAAATTAACCAAATTAGGGCTAGGGATTTAGCTCAGTGGTGCCACGCCTGCCTCACAAGCCCAAGGTCCTGAGTTCGATCCCCAGTACCAAAAATAAATAAATAATTCAACCAAATTAGCCTGCAATGTAGCATGCCTATAATCCCAACTACTTGACATTCTGTTGCTGTTTCTTGAGATAGGGTCTTACTACGATCTCAGGCTGGCCTTGAACCGGCTATGTAGTTCAGGCTAAAGTCAAATATGCAATCCTCTTGCTTTAGTCTCACCAAAATTGCAATGCTGCTGGGATTACAGGTATGTGCCACTCTGCACAGCAAAATCCCAGCTATTCAATGAGCCAGGCTCAACTTCCAAAGGCTCTTCCTGATGCAACCACTAGAGGGCAGAAGAAAAGCCCCCACGATCCTCACTCAATCCAGAAGCAAGAGGTCTAACAGATCTTTCAGCTACTGGTGTTCTTTCTTTTTTTTTCTTTTTTTTTTTAAATTAAATTCTTTTACTGGTACATTGTAGGTATACAACACAATTACATTTCTCATTGGGAATTGTACCTTTACATAATGCATCTTGGTTCTTATTTTTTCCCCATTCCTAGCCCTCCCTTCACCCCCTCAACCCTTCCCTATTTACAAAGACTTTATTTCCATTTGTTCCATTTCTCAGCATTTTTCCTTTCCCTTCTTTCCTTTCCCCTGCCCCTCCCACTACCCCTACCCCTTTGGACCTTTTCTTCCTATTTTGCATTATCGATTATTCATTCTAATCATTGGTACATTTTAGGTATACAATATAATGACATTCATCATTGGAAATTTGCACCTTAACATAGTCTCTCTTGGTTCTTATTTTTCACCCTTCCTTGCCCAGCCCTCCCTTCAACCCCTCCAGTCCTCCCTATTTACAAAGATTTTGTTCCTATTTTTCCGTTTTCTCATATTAATCCCATTCCCTTCTATCCTTTCCCCTAGCCCTCCCACTTCCTTCCCCTTTGCCCCTTTTCTTCCTATTTCACATTACCTATTATACGTTTAGTCCTTATTTACACTTTCAGTTTCTCACACCAGAGAAACTATTCGGTATTTATTCATGTGTGTCCTATGTATTTCACTTAAGAGTATCGCCTCAATGTGCATCCACTTAGCTATAAATGTCTCTAATTTCTCATTTTTTATGGCTGAGTAGTACTCCATTTTATGAAAACAATGCTGAGATTCCACTTCACTCCAGAAAGAATGGCTGCTATCATGAAATCAACCAATAACAAATGCTAGCAGGGCTGTGGGAAAGAGGAACCCTGCTCCACTGCTGGTGGGAGTGTAGACTGGTGCAACCACTGTGGAAATCAGTATGGAGATACCTCAAAGAACTAGGACTGGAAGTCCCATTTGACCCAGCTATTCCATTGCTGGGGATCTTCCCCAAAGAATTAAAAGAATCATACCACAGTGATATATGTGCACCCATGTTCAGAGCAGCACAGTTTGTAATAGCTAAAACTTGGAAATAGCCCAAATGCCCATCAACTGGAGACTGGATAAAGAAAATGTGTTTTTTTTTATAAAATGTTCTTTCATAAAATATTTGTAATATGAATAAACTACACCAATAGCCCAATTGTAAATTAAAAGTTTGCTTGTACTACATCCCCCCTTACCCCTAACCTATATGTCACTGACTTCTGAGAAAGAGTAAAAAAGCACATAGGTAACTGCCAGTTAAGCCCCAGTATTTTAACTAGATCACACTAGGGTTAGGGGGTAGCTTAGTGGTAGCACAAAGTCCTGGGTTCAATCCTTGGCACCACCAGAAAAAGATAATACAGTACACAGAATTTTACCATTTTCCAAAACAATTCTAATACAAATGTGCTAAAGAAAGAAATACTGATTTTCAACTCGTCTATTCCCACCACTGTGACCAGTATCAGCTAGACAGTATGCCAAAGAAAGATATAATCTAGTTCATTGGAAGTCCATTAACTAAAAAAACAGAAGGTTGTCATAATTCTTTTTGTAGCTGGAGACCTTCTGGAAAGCCTGGAAGATGATTTCTAAAGCTGTCAAATGCCCATAATGCTGCACATTGAAAAAATTCTCGCCTAAACCACCTCTTTTTAAAGAAATATTAAATCTGATGATTAAATATGATAATCTAATAGCAAAATTTTTAAAACAGCTTGAAGGCTAATCATACAAAATGAGTTTTTGTTTAAGAGATGGGGTCTCACTATGCTGCCCTGGCTGACCAGAAAAATCTATGCTCAAGTAATTCTCCTGCCTCAGTCTTTCCAGTAGCTGGAACTACAATTACCATGCACAGCTAAAAACTGTTTTTAAGATAAGTTACAACATTCAACCCACTGTTTCTGGTACATCTAACTCAACAACAGCATTTCACTTTGCTATTGCTTTTAATTTCAATCTCCTTGGCTTAAAGTGGCTCTTTTGTGTCAATCTTGAGATCTTGAATACATTTTTAAAGACAAGAAAGAGATCTTGTAACCAATAAACTCATAAACTAATAAAATTAACACTAAACAGGCAAGGATTTAGCTCAGTGGTACCGCGCCTGCCTTGCAAACGTGAGGTTCTGAGTTCAATCCCCAGTACCACCAACCCCCCCCAAAAAAATTAACACTAAACATTTGTTAGCTCATAAAAAGTACTCTTCTGTTAAAGAAATCCTATGCATTTCTTTAATTCATTTGTGTCCCCAAAGTTTTCCACTCTACCACCTCGTCTCAACTGCAAAAAGAGCAACTTTGAGATGGCAAAATGTATTTCACAGCAAGAACTAACAAGTTATTAACTGGTGGTAGCTACAGAACGCAGGTTGAAAAGGATCTGGTACTATTTCCTAAATAAGAAGCAAACCATGACTCATTAACAACACCTATTGTGTAGGGTGTAACAACACAGAGGTCAAATATTTCTACCTCAAACATCTGAGGACATCTACAGTCCCCTTCAGCTTGACATTGTGTAATTTCTGAAGCTTTTTCTCTGATTGCTCTAGTCATGCCTGATGGATTTGACACTTCTACAGACAACTTCCTTTGTGGGTCTCATTTCTTTGTTACAACATTTACATGAGTTTGTCAGTGAACACTGTAACTACTATAACTTTTCAGAGTATACTGTTAAAGATTAGTAAAACAAAACAATACAAAAATATTAGAACATTTTTCTTTAAAACTATATTATTACACCTAAGAATTGATAATAATGATCTATCGCCATCTAATGTTCATATTCAAGTTTTCTCTATTATTTAAAGAATTTCTTTTATAGCTGGTCTGTTTATTCCAGCATCTAATGAAAGATCACACCTCACATTAGATTGTTAAGACTCTTAAGTCTCTTTGAATTTACAATGGCTCCCCCTTACTGTCCCATTTTCCCCAAGACAAGCCTGGGCCAATTTTCTTTATAAACGTCTCACCTTCTTGATATGTTTAGATATTTCCACAGAGTATGATCTAACCAGTTTCTCTAACCAGTTTCCTGTAAAGTGGAAAATGAGTGTAAGGCTTTATTGAGTTAGGTTAAAAACTGGGGTAAGACTGGTTCTCAGGAGTGTATTATTTTGTCTGGTAGTCCACTATTAGTGATGCTAACGTTCAACACTGGTTTTAGGCAAAGACAATCAGATTACTGTCCCTATGCCATCCTGAAAGCATCTTCAGAATACTTTCTAGGGCCTTAAAGATTGACAGCATTGATTTTAAGATATACATATTTCCCTTCTTTGTGGTCCATAATGGTACATTTTCTAATCAGCATCTTAGATTCAATAAAATTTATATCAAGTTCCAGTTGAAAACCTTTTTCCTTAGTAGAGGAAGCACTGCAATTGCCAATAATCATTACTGTCATGTTTTGGTTTGCCACTGGAACAAAGTAAACAAGTGGAAGAAGACTAGAGGAAGCACAAGTAGAAGCAACATTTCTCTTTACATAATTGGACAGGAACTGAAAGGAAGAACAGGATTATAAGGACAACACATATATAGAGAAACTTTCTAAGATCAAAGTAATAGAACTGGGCAAAAGAAAGAGGATTACTCTATGTCACATCCACAAAGGAAAAATGAAGAGTAAGTTGAATTTGTTAGTTTTACAAGCATATCTCTTAATAGTTCCATTGGCCCAAAGCAGTGCACCTGCTGGGATTAGTGACTTATCTACAATTTATGACTGCAAAGATATAATAGCAGCATATAACAACCTAATCAGGCATGCAGGGCATGTTCACAGGGATCTATTCATATACAATATGGTGCTTGTTAGGGCAGAAATCACTAGTTCAATCTATATTTTCAGGTCTTCGGCCTGTCACTT